TGACTCGGAACTTTCTAAACCAGCAGAACGTTGACGTTTTGCCCTGGCCCTGCCCACTCACCCGCTTTGAATCCTATTGAACATCTGTGGGACCATCTTGACAGACAGATTAGAGGACGCCATCAGCCTCCCGTCAACAGACAAGAATTGCAGCAGGCCCTGAGAGACGAGTGGCAACGGATTCCAGTCAACGTCATCAGAAGACTGACGTCATCGATGAGGCGGCGTATCACAGCATACATTGAGGCAGCTGGAGGTCATACACGCTATTGAAGGCAACTGTGTCGACAATGAACTTGTAGTGTGTCTCACAATTTTTTGGTGACATTTCAGACAACTTTTGAAGATGAAATTTCTTACCCCACCATTGTTTACCTTGAGCTTACATTACCTGTGATTGCACAATTTCATTCAAACTGTGGTTGATCGATCATTTGTTACCCCTCCCTCATCTTCCCGAGGCAAGGAGTTCCACCCTTGCCGAACTAGGCTTGAATTCCTGGGCTCGATCGTAGCGCCACCAGTGGTTATTACCAGTTATGTCCCTTCTGAGCCTCTCCTATGGACCAATCAGATTCCACCTCTCGTATCACTTGCATTTGTTTCAAACAAAACGGCGGCGCCCAGTCAAGATAATCAAGGTCTATATTGTGATAAAACGGGTCTTACATCGCGAAGTGCATCAAATCAAGTGAGCACCTTGATTAGAAACTTGAAAAGACTTGGAAATTATCTGTTGACAACGAGTTGGCGGTTCACATGTTTTGCAAATCCTGCAATCGACCGAAATCGATTTACAAACCGGATTTCGATTTCGGTGCGCGATTTTGATACTATACATAGACTCGTTAGTCCAGCCAAAATGTAACTCCATAATTCCTGCCTTGTTCGGCAAGGGTGGAAACTGGACTTTCATAGTCAGTTAACTCCCTTGCCTCGGGAAGATGCCCCTCCCTAGATTATATTGTTATTCACAGCAAAACCTCTTCTTGTTATTTTTTTATCGATCATGGAACTCGACCTATACTTTCTTTTGCCGCCCAGTTTATATACAGTAAACTACGTTTGTAACGAACACGGTTATGACGAACTGACGCATATAACGAACTTATTTTGGGTCTCGGACATTTGCTGTATATATGCTTACACCGAACTACGGTTTTAACGAACTAAAATAAAGTGGTCCCTTGAGTTCGTTATAACCGTAGTTTACCGCATGCACGCACGCACGCACGCACGCACACACACACTCACACATGGAAGGTGAGGTGAGGTGAAATTGGGTTTAACGTCGCGTCCAAGATTATTGCACTTATATAGCGACGTGCATGCACGTGTATGTGTGTGTGTGGCTGCTTGTACTAGTCCGGACTGATGCCGATTTATAGTGCTAGCTCACTGAGATACCATGCCGCAGTTTAACATGAATACCCCACTCAGACACAGTATACTGACTCCGAGCCGACCAGTCCTTGTTTTAGCCCCTTAATGCCGAGCGCCAGACAGGGTAACAGCAAGTACCATCTTTTAACGTCTTTTTGTATGACGCGGCCCGGGATCGAACCCTGGACCCTCCGCTCTCCGGGCGGACGCTCTACCACAAGACCACGGAGGCGGTCTCACACATGGAAGAGGAAAGCTTCTTTTGAAGAAAAAAACACAACTGCTAACCATGGGAATGCAACTTGCCTATTGGTGTAATATAATACGGACGCATCTTCTCCTTTCACGACTGTACTCCTGCGGACCTGGGACCGTTGTGGCAATTATTTACCAGTTCTTATTTATTTGTTTGTTTGTTGTTTTACGCCGAACTCAGCAATATTCCAGCTATATGACGGCGGTCTGTAAATAATCAAGTCTGGATCAAACATTCCAGTGATTGACATCATGAGCATATGCATCAACCAAGTTTGATTTAAGGTAACCTGTCGCAATAACGATAAGTCAATATCAAAGCCGTTTATACGGAGCAGCACGGGGATGCGATTACTCAGCAAACTGTAGGAACGTAATATGCTGACTGGTATAAAAAGGAAAATATATAATAAATTGTATTTCGGGATTCTATATTCTATATTCTAACAGAGAAAACAGTGCTTCAAATGTCTGGGGAAAGTCACAGAATTGCGGACACTAACAGCAAAATAAACTTTTGTTGAGAAGAATATTTCATTTGTTAACGTTTGAGAGACACGTGGTCTCAACGATACAGTTCCCAGAGGAGTTTCCCGGCTGGAATTGGTTCCAAGCAACCTTGGCTTCATTCGTAACCACTCGCATCTTTCCGTGACCTTGTCCCGGAATGGTTCTACATTCGTCAACACTCGCCCCTTTCCGTAACCTTTTTTGCTTGTCCCGGATTAACACGAGTTGGTCACTGATGCCGTGGCTTATCTTACGAGGCAACTCTTTTATTGTTTGTTTCTTGTTTGACGCCGCACTCAGCAATATTCCAGCTATATATCTGTAAATACTCGAGTCTGGACCAGACAATCTAGTGACTGACATCATGAGCACCGATCCACGTTATTCGGATACGATGACATGCATCAACCAAGTCAGCCTATTTGAGCAAGGTGATTATGGTGGGGTTTTTCAATATTTCGTCACAAAAGTCCGTTTTGTTCATCATTTTCGGATAAATATTTCTCTCTTCTAATGAAAACGTCATCCTGGCGGCATTATTTGCGTAATTCGAATATTATTGTGACGTAAGGTCGGAATAGCGTCAGAAGATTCGACAAATTGTGGTTTTCTAGGACAGCGGTGGTGATCAGTGGATTTTTCAAAAGGGGAGCACAAAAGGATTAGGAAATAATTGGTAATATAAAGAAATTGTTGAGCTCACATGTGTGTCATATTGATTTTACGAAACTCGTGTAAAAATTCATGTATTACCCTCTCTCTCGCTAGGGAAATAGAAGAATTTTGACACTCGTTTCTTAAAATCAGTATGACAATAGAGGATATGATATTCGTAATCATGTCATACTATGTTTACGACACAAGTGTCTAAATTCCGGTATTTCAAGAGCGAGGGCGAGGGAAATGTTTGAATTTAGGCACGAGTATCGTAAATATAGCATGACATGAACACGAATATAATGTCCTATTTTTTTACCTATAAGAACAGCAAGTCGCAACAGCAGCGGTACTACAATTTGACGAATGACGTCAACAATCTTCACCTATGACGTCGTTACTAGTGTGACGACATTCCGACCTCACGTCACAGTAACATTCGAATGACGTCAAAAATGCCACCCGGATGACGAAACCAAGGGCGCGTTGCAAGCCACGAATCGCTTAGAGAAAGCAAATTCATCGCTCAACCCGGGGTCTGCAACAGTTCGAAGCGCTTGCGCACTCTTCCAAAATGGCGGTACAACTATACCGCTTGGTTGCCTTGACGTTTGTGTGTTTGTTGTTTAACGCCGCACTCAGCAATCTTCCAGCTATATGACGGCGGTTTGTAAATAATCGAGTATGGACCAGACAATCCAGTGGTTGACATCATGAGCATCTATCCACGTAATTGGGATACGATGACATGCATCAACCATGTCAGCGAGCCTGACCATCTGCGTAAAGAAGAACGTAATAGAAGAGGCTCGATGACGAGCTGATGAAATTTATGACTACTTTGAAGATGTGGAGCAGACTGAGGATGATGGGGTGTTAGCTACCTTTGCTCATTTTCTAGTTGATCCAGTCAAGAATTCCTTGTTCCGCTGTCAAAGTAAGCCGCCATTTTGGTTTGAGAACGAAGCGACCTCAGTCAGCGATTGTTTCGCTTGCAAGCGGCTGAAAGTTAGCGCACTGTTGTAAGGCGAATCGCTGTACATCGCTTACTAGCGATTGGCGCTTTGCAACGCGCCCCAATACTCTGTCGTGACGTGATATGACACTAGGGCACATATGATTTTTATGAACCACGATATGTTTGCCCTCGTATGTAATAATATTGTTTATTACTTGCCCGTGAAGAGATCACCCGTTTAATAAACATACAGCTTTATTACACATTGTGTAATACCAAAACGCGTGCTTATGTACTCTCGGAACACGTTTCACGAACAAATATTGAAAGCTCTCAACATCCCTTGGCTTATTCAACGACATTGCGTGTGGAGTTGATAGATCACTGAGAGGAGCTTATGCACACTCGATGACCCCAGCAACCTTGTTGCTAGGTTGACGTCACATGGCATTGATTCGCCGATGTATCTTGCATCAAAATTCCACAAATTACGTCATCGGGTATTGTGACGTTATTGAAAACTTTGAGGTGCAAGGCCCGTTCCACAAGGCGATCGTATTGTAGCGCAACGACAGTCGTTGGTCTAAGTTAAAGTATGTGAGATGCGAAAGTCTTAGCCCTACGATAATTTTGTGAATTCTAAAGGTAGACCCGTTGTATGGTATGAAATTCATACGTTTCAACTTTTGACGTGTTTGAAGTATTATTCTGTTAAACTCAATTGGACTGTGTCGTGGATCATGTAGGTGTCAGCCTATTCATACTCAACAGTATAATTCAAAAAACGTTATAAATTGCAAGTAATAAATAAAATACTAAACGAGCTTTCGCTCGTCAGATACCACAACTATTCACTCGTTTCATAAAATTGGTTATACACGGGAGCTCGTTTAGTATTCTATACTTATATGATGACGGAAACAATACACTTTTGTCTCGTGACGTTATTGACCCTAGGGCACATATGATTTTTATGAACCCCGATATGTTTGCCCTCGTAGGTATAAAAGACATTTTTTTACCCCCATTCTCATAACCCCTCACATTAATTAGTGGTATGCAATTATTAATGATAAGAAACTAACTATTTCATTGGAATAGGTCGATTGAGGAACTAGTTTAATTAGCTAAATAAACATATATATAGTTTTATTTTGTTGTTTCTTTTCCTTCCTCCAAACGATGCAAATATTCATAGGCCTACATGGTTGATAGAAAGTATCAGGCTTTGCAATGTTAGTCGTGATTACATCATGTGTTCAACGTACACGTGAAAGACGGTAAGCATATTTGCATAAACCGGTAATAAGGTTTTTCTTGGATTGGAATTCACTGCGTCATGGTTAAGACTGTCTTATCGACTGCTCGCTGTTTCTGAGCGACAGACTTTGGTCACGTGACTTGGGGAAAACATGGCGCAGCCCACGGAAGTAGGGAAAGTGGACGAACCAACAGAACAAAGGTAAGGTGACGAGCAAGTTTCAAATAATGTGTCATGTGAAAGATAATGCATAGAACTGTCTCAGAATTCTTCACGGGGCGATTGTTGGTACCACTATTTAATGGCGTCTGAGCTGAAAGGAAGGAAGTTAGTATTAATGTCAGTGTCACATGATGTTTGTGTACAACTAATTCTTATACAAATTATTCTGAAATGTCACATCGCAATTACATGTTTTACACATTGGTATCTGTTCTGTCGGAAATGTGTTATTTTGTTTATGCGCATTTTTCTATTTTTTGTTGTAATACTTTCAAAACTGAATATTTTTTTAATAACGCGCACCTGTTGGAAATTACGATTGATGTTACTGCAGTAGCTTTTCTCACGTCACCAATGTTTACATTTAGGCTTGACAGTAATGTTATATAAGCATGTGTTTTATAACGGCAACTTTCCAGTTTTTTACAAGGGCTGTACATCATGCGATCAGAGTGGTGTAAGTTGGGAACATGCTGATAATTAAACTGCGTAGTTTCAGGGGGACATGGAAGTCGGCAAAGCATTGAAGAACTTAACCAGTTTATGTAGGCTAGATCAGAGTTCATTCACTTACGAAACAGGTTGTGTGTGTGTGTGTGTGTGTGTCAAAATATAGGAAAATAATTGGTAAAAGAATTATATGAGTGTTGTTGCTTTGCGTTCTTCTACCCAGTAGCCATGCAGTAGCTGCATGTTGATTTTTTTTTTTTCTTGACTCGAGATTATTTGCAGAATTCATGGTATTAGACTATATGGTTACAGTACATTCATGATATCTAGGTAATATTTTATTCTGTCATAAAATTCTGAAACCACAGTCAACTTAATTTATCTGATTTATGTGTAAGGCGTTTTGTATTGTTTTAGCAGGATTCCGATGTTCCTCACACAAACTTTTTATTGAAACTGACAATGTACCTTTATTAAAAGAGAAGATATAGAATGTGCCAGCTATGTAACTTAGATACCATTGAAGATCACTTTCTTCTTGTATGTCCAGTTTTATTCCACCCTAAGAAATAAGTATCTTAAAGAATATTAATTACTATGTCCATCCCAGCATCCATGTTTATTTATTGTGCAATGATATAGAGGAGAAATTTTACTTCATTACAAAACGACCTGTGAATATCCGGGGTAGAATAGATCTTCAGCAACCCATGCTTGCTGTAAATGGCAACTAACAGGATCGGGTGATCAGACTAGCTGACTTGCTTGATGCATGTCCGACATTTTGTACGTATCTCTTGAGACATACAGCGGGTTTCCCGTAGGGTCAGGTAATAGGGAGGTTGGTTCACTGGTAGTTAATTTGGACTCGCTCCAGTCCTAATAGACATGGTGGAGTTTTGTGTTTGATGATAGTAATTGGAGGTCAGTGTATTGTTGATATTGTGTGCCATTTGTTTAATTGTTTATGATATATGTTCTGTTAGGAGGGCTTATGTTATGTTCAGTAGCTTAAATTATTGTTATTATCATTATCACGCACCCCTGGACAAACTATTAGTTCCATCTGCATGTAATCTTGTATCAACTCCAAGTACTAAGCCAGGAAGTTAACGTGATAGTCTGTATTTTCATGTGTATAATATACATTTTTTACAGAAAATACAGTTACGTACATGATGTAGAAGGTGATGCATATCATACATGCATGCTGTTGTATTATTCAGTATTTAATTAAATATGGTTAATTTCATTGTTAGCCAATGTTGACAGCTGTTACCCCAGTAACTGGTTGATAACTTCTGGTTTGCTGGTCTGCATGGAGAAATTCAAGCCAAACACTGAAAATTCAATATCGCAATTTGTTAGTGTCCCGTTTGAAAAGTTGCACGCCTGATGGTCAGGAGTTAAAGGTACTAAGTTGACAATCCACTAGTTTATTGTTATTTTCTGAGAACTAACATAAAACAGTGCTATTCTCATATTTACCCTTTTTTTTGTTAGTCTTGAAATTTCTCGACTGGCGACATTTTATCTGTTCTGGTAACCTTGCGATGCTGCCAGTGCAGTTGTCTACTGTAATATTGGGGAATTTTATACACTGAATATGTAGTGTATTATGACACTTGTACTAAAACCTCTTTCCTCTTCCCATTTCAGTTTGGAGTATGTGAGGCCTCGTCAGTGGATCCAGTGGAGACCTACATCAATGGCGCAGCTTGTGCAGGTGGAGCAGCGCATTTTAAAATGTAAGTCCAAATGAGTATGTTCCTCAATGTCGACAATAAGGCGGTAACAATTCAACAACCATTCAGGGTATAAGTACCCCGGAGAGTTTTCATCAAGTCTTTAAGTGGCATTTTAGTAGCTGTAGTGTCAGTGAATATGGAGTTGACTTGTGGATTTCAACTTCTATATTACCGTATTTGACGTAATAAGCGCCCACAGCGATATTTTCTAATATATTGGCTAGTGAACAATCCCAATTAGCACCCCTTCCAATTAATCAATGTACACAGGACTTATATATTTGTGTATAATATGTATATTATATATATGCATTCTTAATTATGGGAAATTAAATTCTGGAAAAAATATATCTGTCGTATGTAAACATTTCAGACTGTCAGCATAAACCACGAAACTTACGATCTTTCAACAAATAATATTCTAATAAGAGCCCCCTATTTCTAACTTTGAGGGCGCCTTTGGCGCTTATTATGTCAGATACGGTATTTCAATGTGACATTTTGGTACAGATGCCTTCATCAACAAGTGATCAACTACTGTTTTTTTGTTTGTTTGTTTGTTTAATGCTCTCAATGCTACTGTCGAATCCATTTGACAGGTGCATAGTCGAAGGACACTCCCAGATGAAACTCGCAATAACTGTTTAATGAGTAGGCTTTCTTTATATTCTAAGTTACGTATGGTATGCAAAAATGCTGAGCGTGCAGATTATCAAAGCTTTCAGTAGTTTATTTACCTCAAAAAGAAAACATCAGGAGTTAAAAAAGTATCTGACAAATTTCTTGGCACACAACTACCAGAAATGACCATTGTTGATTTGGGCACTTCACGTTGAGCAGCATGCAGTCCAAAGACAAGTTGGACTTTGCTGAAAATGATGGTAGTTCTTGTTTCCGGCGCAGAACTCCAAAACCGTTGAATATATTTCTTGAGTTAACTATGCAGATCAGTCTAGTGGTGAACTGGTACCATTTCATGATATGGAATAATGAAAAATACTGAACAGCATTATTTTTTTCTTCACCGAACTGAAGGTATCCAATGGCAATGAACCAAAGGTGGGGTTTTGGTAGCCAAACTCCAATTCTGAATTGCACCAAACCGGGGTTGGGTGGGGGGGACAGGGTTTCCCCTTGCCTCTTAGAACTCGGGATCATTATGACTCCCTAGCTGTAGTACAGGAAGTCATATGTCTTTTGAAGGGGGCCATTTTAACAAAAGTACTAAATGATGTTAGCATGGTTAGGTTTCGTAATGAATTTAATTTTTAATTTAAAACATATTATCTTGTTTCTCGAATTGCTAAACTAATTATAATGTAATTTGTAATGTCCAATATTTGTTATCATATTTGCAGATAACAGATTGATATATATAGACTGATAAGGGAGCTGCATTATAATATAATAACTCTTTACTCTTTACATGATGTGGCGTAACCTATTCTTGACAGTGGCTGACAGGAAGTACAACCGTTCTGCTAGGCAACTACAGAAACTTAGTTCTGATTGGCTGCAACCGAGAGCTTGCCAGTAGGGATGTTCCATTTGTGAACATTAGGTTTTCCAACATTAGACAAAGCTGATATCGGTCATATTTTATTGTCAAGGGATATGTCTGTTTCAAATTTTAATGTTCCGACAATTTGGTACAATTAATTGATCTTGACAGACTGAATGATCTGCGTTATGACTGATGCAACAGAGAAATAATATTGCATATTTCCTCCTTAGATTGCGTCAAATACCGTATTCAATGTAATAAGCGCCCAGGGTGCTCTCAAAATTAGAAATAGGGGGCTCTTATTAGAATATTATTTTGGTGAGAGAAAAAACAGAGTTGAAAGATGAATTTTGTGGTTTATGCTGAAAGCCTGAAATGTTTATATACGAGAGATACATTTTTCCAGAATTTAATTGCCCATAATTAAGGGTGCATATAACACGTATTATACGCAAATGAATAAGTGTTGTGTACATTGATCAATCAGAAGGGGTGCTAATTGCTATTGTTCACTAGCAAATATATTAGCAAATATCGCCGTGGGCGCTTATTAAGTCGAATATGGTACACAGGTTTTCTGCATCAGGGCAAACTCTGGGAGGACATCTTCTGATGACTCCGGTGGTTTCGTCCACTGGATCTGGTACCTGTGGGTTTGCCTAATGTTTGTTCTTGTTTCAGGTGTGAAGAGTTTGATAGACTCTCGTTTTGTTACAATAAGGACGACTCAGTCTCGTATCTGGTCTGTGACTCTCAACAGGAAGGCTGAGAACACTCCCCTAGTGATGGTACATGGCATGGGAGGTGGGCTCGGTCTTTGGGTACAGAACATGGACGCTCTGGCACAGAACAGGCCCGTTTATACATTTGACCTCCTTGGATTTGGGCGGAGCTCACGACCCAATTTCAGTAGTGATCCCAAAATAGCTGAAGACGAGTTTGTCAGTTCCATAGAGGAATGGCGCAAGGAAATGAAGCTAGAAAAGTTTATACTGTTAGGACACAGCCTGGGTGCTTTTGTATCGAGTTCGTATGCGATCCAACATCCAGACAGAATAAAGCACCTTATTCTAGTGGATCCCTGGGGGTTTCCGGAGAAGCCCCCAGACAACCAGATACAGAGACGGGTCCCCACATGGATCAGGATGATTGCTACAATGTTGCAACCCTTCAATCCCCTGGCAGGACTGAGGGTGGCAGGCCCCTGGGGTGAGTCTTTTCCACCTGTTGTCCATAGCAACCAGCCCTGTAATGTTACAGGTTAGAGTAGTCACCATCACTCGGCAGTTTCCAGCTGTAAATTACCGGCCTATAAATAAATGACTCTGGACCAGATAATCCAGTGAGCGATATTGTGAGCAATGATACACATTGTCAGGATATGGTGACATGCAATCAGTGAGTATGGTTTTACGCCGCTTTTTGCAATATTCCAGCAATATCACGGCGGGGGACACCAGAAATGGGATCCACACATTGTACCCATGTCGGGAATCGAACCCGGGTCTTCGGTGTGACGAACGAATGCTTTAACCACAAGGCTACCCGACCGCCCCTGCATGCAATCAGCCAAGTCACTGAAAATGACCACCTGATGCATTAAGTAGCCTCTTACGACCACCGTAGGTTGCTCGGGTTGAAATTCTTATACCCCGAATCCCACGTAAGAGGCAGCTAACTTGAATATGGTGGTCCGGCTCTGGGACTTGAATGCATATCACCACACCCAGATGGTACGCATTGTTGCAAGTAGAGGGGCGGTCGGGTAGCCTAGTGGTTAAAGCGTTCGCTCATCACGCCAAAGACCCGGGTTTTATTCCCGTCATGGGTACAATGTGTGAAGCCCATTTCTGGTGTCCCCCGCCGTTATATTGCTGGAATATTGCTAAAAGCGGCGTAAAACCATACTCACTCACTCACTGTTGCAAGTAGATGGTTGCACTGGTATGTCTGATCCAAAGATTTGGATATAGCTGAGTGCATGGGAACTGGGGGTGTTGATTATGAAGGCTAATTGTTTCATTTACCATAATCATGTTTGTTTGTTTGTTTAACGCCACACTCAGCAGTATTCCAGCAGATCTGACGGCGGTCTGTGACTTGGTTGGGACTTGAGACCTTGCTCATTATGATAATCACTGGTTTGTCTGGTCCAGACATGATCGTTGACATGTCATTGTCTTCTGCCTGGGATATTGCTGATATACTATCAATGACAAACAACAGAATTTCCTATATGACCTCGAAATAATCAAACTTATATTTTATCATGTTCATACTGTTTATTTTTTTAAAGGAAGTATGGGGGCAGGGGGAGGGGAGCCTAGTGGTTAAAGCGTTCACTCGTCACGCCGAAGACCAGGGTTTGATTCCCAACGTGGGTACAATGTATGAAACCCATTTATGGTGTCCCTCACTGGGATATTGCTGGAATATTGCTAAAAGCGGCGTAAAATCATTCTCACTCACTCTTTGACTTGTGTCAGTTTGGTATACAATAGTGTCTGAACCACATAGTGAGTGAGTGGATTGGGTTTAACACCGCTTTGAACAATAAGAACCATAAGATTCGGTGATGGTTTTGCAATGTGTTTTTTTCTGTTGATGATAGGTCCCGGTCTAATCAAACGTTTTCGCCCAGATCTTCAAGCCAAGTTTGCTGATCTTTTCGCCGATGAGACAATATTTGATTATATCTATCATTGCAATGCTCAGAAACCAAGGTAGGTCTCTTACATGTAATGCTGATGATGTGAGGCAAAGTCTGATACTTAATACCTGTACAGCAGCCGTGCTGAAAGTGCTGATAGTCCTCAAATACAGTACATTCTACCATGCATTGTCTGCCTTGATCCGGGTTACAATTGGTTTTTGGCAATCCATGCTTGTTGTAAGAGGCAACTAACGGGACTGGGTGGTCAGACTTGCTGACTTGCATGTCATTGTATCCAAATTGTGTAGATTGTTGCTTGTGATGTCAATCACTGGACGGTCTGGTCCAGACTTGAATATTTATAGACTGCTGTCATATAGCTGCAATATTGCTGAGAGCGGCGTAAGCAACAAATAAATAAACTTGGGAAAATGCTCGATTCTGATTGGTCAATCAGTGGTTTAAAATTCAATAACCACCACTGATCAAAACTGCAGCATTACCACAGAAGCTGATATTTAAAAAAGACACAAATGTATTTCTTTCTTGGGAGCAGTGACATCATAGGAATTACAATGTCAAAGCATTTAAGATACGTCCTGGTAAATAGCGACTTAATGGGACAGTGGATGATATTCAGTAACTGAGTACAGCTAGAACTGTGAAGGACTACCAGATGTTTCTACTTAATTTTCAGGGGCACGGGTGGCCCAGTCGTCTAAGTCGCCGCAAGTTGCGTCCCTTGGGCACGCCAGAAACCTAGGATTGTGGATTCGAATCCCTGTTCACCCCGATTATGTTTCTAGATTTGTCAGCACCATACCCGTGCTTGAGGGTTTCATTGAAGTGGTAAACGTCTAAGACCTGCATCACTTCGGGCTTTCCTCCCACATTAAGCTGACACGCCGTGATATAACTGGAATACTGTTAAAAGTGGCGTTAAACCTGACTCACTCACTTACTCTACTTAATTTTCACCTGTATACCAGCCTATCAGTATATTCCCTCTCATTGCATCATCTTCCAGTGGAGAAACTGCGTTCAAAACGATGCAGATGTCCTTTGGCTGGGCTAGAAATCCAATGATAAACAGAATAACCGATGTTGCGCCCCAAGTCTCTATGACCTTCATCCACGGGTCAAGGTCATGGATTGACCAACAGATAGGTCACCATGTTAAGAAGCTTCGGACTGACAGTTATGTTGTTGTACAGGTAAGTGTGATTAATTCATACTTAACTCATAGCTCTTGATCATAACTCATGTTTTCTTTATACCATCCCTAACAATTACATGTTTAGACCTTTGTTAACATTCCATGAATTTGAGGTATTGAGCAACCCAGCTTTGATTGTTGTTATCAATATAGTTATCAATATAGAAACGGGCTCCGTCCGTCTGTCAATCCGTCTGTCCGTCCGTACGTCAGGTTTCGTTTCCGGAGCAGAACTCTTCAATATTTTGGCATCAAACTTTGCAGGCCTGTCATGTCCATGCTGAACTGGTGCCTTTTGCTCTTAAGAAATTTTAGAAATTTTTATTTTTTACTTTTCCATGGCATTAAGATGGACTTAGGTTCCAAACTCTTCTTTTTTTTTACAATTTCCATGACAAGTTCCACCTCGGTTAAAAAAGGTTAGGGTTTGTTTAGATTTAATTATGTCATAAATTCTGCAACAGGGGCGGGGGATATAGCCATGTTAGTGGCAAACTCTTGTTTCTTTTTTGATCACCTGGATTGATTGTCATGAATTTCATGGCAAAGCATGTTGTCTGTCATCTGTCGTCTGTTCATTGTATCTCCATAGTCAATCTGCTTGTTATCCCTCCCCCAAACGAAAGTTTTGAAGGGGATTATAGATCGTACTAAGCAACTGGTGGAAAAATCACTCTAAGCTTTAGAATCTTCCATTGTTCCGAGGACATTTTTGTGTGCAACCTTTCAGTTTAAAGTTAGGGCATAGATTCTTTTCTATCTTGGTGAACACTTTCTATACCAATAGGAGAGGTGCAGTGTGAAGTTTAATTCAGTGTTGGGATTTTATGGAAAAAAATACATCTATTTTTCTTTCTTTTCTTACTTTTTTTACTTTTTTTTACTTCAACATTTGTGCGACCTATAACTTACTTTAAACAGCTTACAACCTCAAACAACTTTATGGATTCTTTTCGGGAACAGTTTCCATACTAAAAGAAGAGTTGCAGAGCAAAGTTTTGATTTTGATATGTGGATTTTCTGAGAAAAATATTATTTTTTTCATTTTTTGAACTTAGATCTTTTTTCCTTCAACATTCATGCGACCTATAACTTGAAAACTGCTTTGTCGATTCTTTTCAAATTGGTGGTTGAGTTCCTATACCAATAGGAGAGGTTTCAAAGTTTGATTTCAATAATCAAATTTTCTGAGAAAATATTGCTTTTTTTGCTCTTGTCACGTGTACTGTGTCTGGCAAAGCTTGCCAATGATGCACCAGTGGATCTTTGAATCATGCCCTTACTATTTTATATTATTGTGCTTTTTAAAAGAAACTGGCTCAAACTTAATGGTGTTAATATATCTCCAATATGAAATTCTTCTTCAGCTAATGTTGTAGTCGAGGTCGGGGTTATTACTGAGCCCTGCTCACTTTTTGCCTTGTTTTAATTATTTTCAATTTGTTTCAGAGCATCTCAGGGGCCGGTCACCACGTGTATGCAGACAAGCCGGTGTTATTCAACAATGTGGTGAAGAAAGTGTGTGACAGTGTTGACACACCCAGCAGGAGTCGACGGGACTCGGAACGGACACGTTCTCGCGGAATTAGTCAGTCCCTGTCTGACATCAGCAGAGACCAGCCAGTGGATACCTCATTTAATGCTAATTTATGACATGGCTAGCCCTAGATACAGTTTGATACATTTGGTATTTTTTTATCCATGACGGTCTGCACAATGAGCAGGGGTACTGAGACGTTGCATTTGAATTATCAAAATAAAATACAAATTCTCATCTCATCATAGCCAGAGCAGTGATATGTATTCACACAAATGGGTAAATATACAAAGATTGATGAAGTCGTTCTCATACTCTGGAGCCTCAATAATTATGATGTTTATTAATCTATCAGTTAATGATTACAACTACAGAGAAATAATAATCATTTTCACAGACAAGGTCTTGACTAGCAATGGGCATAAGACCTTGGAGAGTAGTCTCCCTTTGACAGAAAAGATTTTCGAAAACAAATCATTAACTGGATGAAGGTTTTTACCATTTTGATTACCGTACTTTTCAAAGTTTACAACAATATTTTTATTTTCTAACTGCACCAGATTTATTTGTCTTTACTCTCTGATGCATCATGTTTTCAAAAATAATGTCACTATTTGATGTGAAGTTGATATTTCTATATCAGGCTATATTATAATTTCATTTTCTTATTTGTCACCTCTCAATCTCTCATGGAAACCTGTAAAATTGTGTTTCCGAGTCGTGTCAATGACTTGGTCAGTTTTTACAAAATGTGGAAATTGCCTCCACACTTGCAACTGATAATCATTTTCTGTGGCATTGATTGAAGTATTGTATGTATCAAAACCGTTTGTTTATATTCTTTATGTACATGATTTAAGTTACATGCCACTCAGGTAACCATGGTATCATGTGACCATACACAGCCTCTGTTTGGAGTTGTTACCATGGTAGCAGTGGCTTATCAACCAGTGAATGTAAATATTTGTAATCATGTGACCATGCACAGCCTCTCTTTGGAGTTGTTGCCATGGTAGCAGTGGCTTATCAACCAGTGAATGTAGATATTTGTAATCATGTAACCATACTCAGCCTCTCTTTGGAGTTGTTGCCATGGAAGCAGTGGCTTATCAACCAGTGAACGAAGATATTTGTAATCATGTGACAATACACAGCCTCTCTTTGGAGTTGTTGCCATGGTAGCAGTGACTTTTCAACCAGTGAATGTAGATATATTTCTTTTATATGCCAGAAGGATGTGCCTTTATCTATACTGAGCATGAACACTTTCATAACATGGAAATAAGACATTTTTGGGACAAAAGTTTAATTATTTTTGTATGCAAGCAAATTAAATCACACTTCCATATATTTGTGTCATAAAACATTTATGATATGTCAGTGTTATTTCACATCACATTCTCACTTCCTAATATGAAGCTAGTGCCAGTGTTTTACATAATAATTGTTGTAGTTTTCACGTTGCTACATTTGTAATATAACACGTTATTTTATTTTGTATGTATATGGAGATATTTCTTTTATTACCTACTGTTTAGTACTTCTCAACAAACCATCCAAAACCTACCCCAAAATCACAAACACTATATGTAAATCATTCTGAGTTTTACTTTACCATTCAAATCAACATGTTATCATGGTAGGCAGTGCGCATACAAAATGTCATCAGATGCACAAAAAAAGGGGGGGGGGGTCCGCACATGCACCAGGCATGACAGATTAACGATAGTCGTTTGAAAAAATCAGGTGTTCTTTAACTTCTTTTGAGTTGTTTACCACCTGACACTAAACAAGACATACTTATTCAACATTTTTTTATCCAGGCCACATAGGATATGGAGAATTTCATGCAGAAGTTGTGCAAGTTAAGTATTGTGATATAATCACACCTGTATTTGATATGTCATAGACAATCAGATAGTCCTGAAATGAAGCTAATAAGATCAATTCCAAGGAAATCTTAACGAGCATGATAGAAGCGATAACAAAGCTAGAGTGTGTGAGGGAGTTTGATTTTACGCTGCTTTTAGCAATATTCCAGCAATATCACGGCGGGGGACACAAGATTTGAGCCTCACACATAGATTCCATGTGGGGAATCGAACCCAGGCCTTCGGCGTGATGAGTGAACACTTTTATCACAAGGCTACCCCACCGTCTCCACAGCTGGAGAGGGGCGGTCGGGTAGCCTAGTGGTTAAAGTGTTCGCTTGTCACGCCGAAGACCCGGGTTCGATTCCCCACATGGGTACATAGTGTGGAGCCCATTTCTGGTGTCCCCTGCCTTGATATTGCTGGAATATTGCTAAAAGCAGGGTAAAACCATACATGTGCAAAGGAGATGTAGAAAATAGTTGGCTACCTGTCTGTGATAACTGGCTGGCAATGGAGCATAATAATGAAGCCAGTACGCAGCATTATTGAATATACATGTTTATTATTCAGCTGGAATGGTTTGGTTGATGTGAGGCATGACCAACCACATTTCATGTTACACTTGGTTTCTGGTAATGTACCACTTGGCATGACCCAATTGCGTGGATCGATGCTCATGATGTCAATCACTGGATTGTCTGGTCCAGACTCGATTATTTACAGACCGCCGTCATATAGCTGGAATACTGCTGAGTGTGGCGTTAAACAACAAACAAACAAACAAAACCAATTGGCATCAGGCGAAAAAGTGGTTATTTTCCTTTTGAATGAAATCTTTTAAAATTGAATAAAATAAAATTGTTCTTTTTACTATGATTTTTTTTTTTTTTTTTTTTTTTCAATTAAACAGTTTTTTTTCCCTTTTGTACCTTTTACAATTTTAGGGTAGATCTTTTCTAATAAAATGAGAATGTTGTGTAATTTGAGTTTGTTGGTCTGGTTTAATCCAGTAGTAAGTGTGTGCTCACTTTAAGCCAAACAACCTTTTCAGTATCTTACCATACCCCAACTGGGAGTAAAAAATACATTCAAATATAATCCTGAACAAAACAAATTAGGGATCATGAATATTATGGGGGGGATATTTATATGAAATTGACTGCTCAGTCTTCATAAAATATCCCCCAAAATATTCATAATCCCAAACTTATTTTGTTCCATATATTATAAAAGATATGCTAGACTCATTCGCCACCATTCGTTATATTTTGAGTGGTTTCGGATAATGGTTCAGGATGTAATGGGGATCATAGTATGCAAGTGTGCAAGCTTATCACATTGGGGAAGTCATTTCTTAAATAGGTTATATAGACCAATAAATAATACAAAGAGAAATTAAAACCTTTGATAGAAGATATGTGTGTATTGATGTGGTTTGGATTATGCGGTCATAAACACGTTCTTGTCATTGAGTTTTATATATTGATAGAACCAAATATTTTTTGGTCATGTCATAGGTGATGTGTTCATTTTGCTGTTATTGAACACCTTAAAACCATGATGAATAGATTTTTATAACAGTTATGTTTTAAGTTGAATGATTTCAGGACCACTACTACACTAATATTGAATTGTTTATGCTCATCTGGAGCTGTAAAAGCCCAGGTGAAGATTATGCCGTTACTTTTGTGATATGTGTATCAGGAAATTGTGTCTCTGCTTCAAGTGTGGCAGTTTGTAGACAATTTTCAATAAAACTGACAATTATTAAGCTTTGTCTTGTCTCATTTATATTGTACTATCAAAATATGTCGGTTCTCAGGCAATGAGATGGAATATCTAGGACAGCATGTTATTATGGTTTCTTTTTGTCAATTTTGTTTTAGCACCTGCTTTTCACAGCATTTTGCACTGAAAACATAAAGGCGGAATCAACACCAAGCACAGATTTAACAAACAATTATAGCCTGGTAGCTGGGCCATGGTTCTGTTATGGCAACTGATGGGTGTTCAAAGTTTTTCTGGATCGGGGTTTTGTTTGTTTGTTTTTCGTTTAACGCCTCACTCAGCAATATTCCAGCTATATGATGGCTGTCTGTAAATAATCGAGTCTGGACCAGACAATCCAGTGATTGATATCAAGTCTGTGAGCTGAGCCTGACCACCCGATCCCATTAGTCACCTCTTAAGACAAGCATAGTCTCCTATTAGGGCAAGCATGAGTTGCTGAAGACCTATTCTAACCCAGATCTTCACGGGTCTTGTAATTTTGTAACTGAAGCATTTGTGTGCGACTTCAAAGACCCAGGTCCCATCGCTAGATGTGTTCAATGATCATTATTGGTGTCCCTGATTTGATATTAAGCAGCATCTCACTCACTCACTCACTCACTGTAAGTAATTCTATGATAAAAAATTAAAAGATAAAAAGATTACTTCTCACAGAAAAATTATAGCACATATTTATTAGCCGAGCTGTCACTCTACAAGGAAATTGTCTCATGTGTACCTAGAAGGTTTTCTGGAGTGCTGTCTCTTTTTGGTTCTCCAAAGGTCTGGTACCTTGCGTTTCTGTAACAAAGACTTGGGAACAACCTCGAATAAGGTGGAAACTCTGTTAATATAAAATACAGTATTAACACCAAACGTAATTCAAAACAGATGTACGAAACCAACAGCACCAACACTGCAGCCGTTTGTTCAACGCACAGTCCTGAAAGTGATTGAAGCGCACTAGAAATCACTGACGGCGTCAGACACCGGAGATAATTGCATTCATCTGAACGATCCTGAAGGGATCCATCCGTGTATTTTCCCTTTGTTGTAGCAGCTACTGAATACTGATATTCCAGTCTTCAAACACCAGGGTGGAACTGCGTCAGAGTCCGACAACATACATAATTCTCTGCTCAGACTAAGCTTCATTGACAGCATCCAGGATAAAGTGTACGAGAGATTACAATGGCACCCCGCGAACATTTTGATGGGAACTGTTTGTAAATCGATTCTGCATCGGGCGGTATTAATGATCAAAGTTTATTGTTATCTTTTGGAATAATGAAATAACTTAAGCAAATGAATGGAAACTAACACTATATATACTGTATGATTAAACCTTTTAACGTGGCTTGTTTTAAAAGGGATTGTTCCGTTCCCCGTGGGCATTTTTACCTGTTCGCGTACCGGGCTACATATAGAGATCATATTTCGTTTTAGTACGGGTGCATCCCTATTTTATAGCATAGTCTTTCTTTTTTACTTTATATTTACAGCAATTACACTGCATTACAAACGCCAATAGAGAAACGTTGTCCAATCGAGTTTGGTTCAGGTCGCACCTGGTGCTTGGCATTAAGGGCGGCCTGGAGGAATCTCTGTGGGTTAGCACAATAAAAAAACCAAAACACACACCTCCCCCCCCCCCCCCCCCCCCCCACACACACACACCACACACACACCACACACACACCACACACACGCTTAACCTCACCTTACTGTCCTCACATCCTTGATTCTACAGTGTTATTAAACATACAATATTTCCCCATTCAATTCTTACGGTCCGTCGTTATTTTCTGTAAGTATATGTAATAATGTGTATACTGTATACAATACGTGGCTCGTACACATTATAACGGCGGCAATTGTTGGTCGAAAAAATAACAACAAAGCCGTTCTATAAATATGACATGTATTTCCATTGAAAAATTACGATCGATGGCAATATCTTACTTCTAATAATACGTTAAAACAACCAAGCCCGAACGATGTCTTTTTTCCATGCAACGTATAGTATACATCAAGCATTCCCTGCTGTGAGTGCATGCGTGAGGGAGTAGGAGATATATAGCACCCGGATCAGCGTGCAAGAAACATGAACAAAAGACTATTATAGCTAACATAGATAGAATTATCATCAAACCGCCCGCATGTTATCAAAAATGAGCGGGCCACTGTAATTTGATAATGCCCTCACATTGCTTGACGACGGGCCATTATCACGCCCGTTGTCAGGTGACGTCATAGGATAGGGATAGGTGACGTCACGTTCAATAGTGACGTCATCTCGTTTGTTCTATGACGTTTCCATTGTAAGTTGGTCAGTGACATTCGTGTTGATTGCAGTAAATGTTTCAAAACCGATATTGTTGTTTCTTTTTATTTGATAACAAATTCCATCCATTTTAGCTATAATAACGGTAACGCTATTTTTCAGGGCATTATCATTTGAAGAAGCCCTCGGTCTTTTCAACTGCCCTCCTTCGTCGGGCAGTTAATGGAAGACCTCGGGCTTCTGCAAATGATAATGCCCTGAAAAACAGCGTTACCGTTATAATATATTACCCATAAGGGTAGAATATTACTGAGTGCGACGTTAAACAAAAAACAAATATAAGGGTTGAATGGTCGTGTGTAACACCTTTCCGATATATAGAGAATCTCACACGAGTGTCTTTTGATTTCAAATATATTAACGAGTGTTGATATATTTGACATCAAAAGACAAGAGGGTGAGATTTTATTTATCATCCAACAACATTCTTCCAACTTTTTCAGTTTGCAGAGAGTAAAAAGCAGTATAATAAGTGTAAAAAGTACTGCTAACAGCTTCAGTAGCAAAACCATCAGTGATGTCATTTGATTATGACGTAATGGAAACAATGACGTCACAATGGTTTGGAGAGCATTGCGATGCAATTTTACTGCAGCGATATCTACAATGAAGATATCACATAATCGCACCCAAGCGATATCTTTTGTGGGAGCCAGGTTTGGATGATAAATGCACATCTGCATTTTGGCGATTCTCAATGCCGATTGGTCAACTGAAGCCAAGTGGCGTCACAGTGCTCATTGTTGATGAAAAACGATATGACGTCATCCATTATACATGACGTCACAAATTTATTAAATTATGTCATCTAAACAAAAGGCTGCCTTCAGTGAATTTTCTCTGTAAAGTTTACATATACGTTTTTCTTCATTTTCTCTCTTAAAATGTCAATGAGCAATACATACGAAATAACCTACTCGAAACTCGGAATTGTGGATAATCTTCTCTCGTGAATAAACTTTGTAAGTCACTTGCCAAAGGCTCGGATTTAACACCATTCATTCACCCGGGGTGATAATCCCGCATTCCTCGTAACTCGTTAGTTTTTCTCTAAATCTCAAACAGTTATGATGAAGTCATTTCCCCAGCATTCCGCTCACACGCATCCTGCTAATCCTAAAAGTGATCAACTGAATCCAAGTGTTTTTAACTCACCTCGAATTACGAACTATCTCAATTAGTTAAACATATAATACACTCTTTCACAACATCCTGCGATGGCATGATCTGTTACGAAGGATATTGAATAAATTATGCACATTTGTTGGCAGGATGGTATTTATGTCGCGAGTAACGGCCTGAAATATTTATATAAGCAATTGTTGTGCTATATTCCCTTAGATATACGCTAGAAACGACGAAACACTTCGATTTCAGACCATCGATCGTCCCCTCCATGAGGTGGAACTATTGTCTCAGGATTGTTTATTCGGTGACCATGACAACAGCGGTGATTATAGTTCGTTCTATATTCTGTGGACGTGTGAGCCGCTTAAGGGATAAACTTTTTACTAATGTTCAATGTCTTGATTTTCTCAGCTATAATATGATGACTGATAATCTTTAAATAATAGGTTTACGCATGGTATTGCTTTGAAAAATAAGCATCAATCCTAATAGTTTGAGCACCAACGCCATCATCATCAATGCATCGCTCAAGCACTTTCACTAATTGATTTTTTAAAATGAGCAGTAGACGGAGAAATATCTTCAACTTTATTATCTAAAAAATGAATAATTCAATGTATAAAAGGGTAGCCGTTTATGAAAGGTTGGAGGGTGGAGGTATGTGGGGGTGGTGGGGGGTGGGATGGTGGTGGAGGTGGGTGGGGTGGGGGGTAGATACGACAAATCTCCTTTTATAATATATATATCATCGCAAAAAACACTTAAAGCGACCTACACGATGGACTATTGCGTTAAAGAAGTACCCCCACAACTCAAATATAAAAAAAGTGATTGCAGTACGTAAGCACTTATCCACCCTTGGAAGGTTATGACATTATGCGATATAGACTATAGCCACTGGATCGTGTCTCCGTACCCGGCAATCCCGCGAATAGCGCAGTGGCGAGTTAGTCGTGCTAGGAGCTATAGTCTATATCGCCACTGTTTGATATGGAATTTATCCCTTTTAATCTGGGATCAGGATTACGTCTAAGAAGCTAAAGACACACCAGCATGCCGGAGGATTCGTAAGTAGATATATACATTTAGCCACCACCGGGACTTGGAGCGGGGCGATTGTGACAGTCGCTTGATAGAATCTTGTTTGCAAACCTCTGTCCACACGCTAGAACTATTACTATTAGTATTACTGTCGTCTCTTCTGTATAGTTATAATAATACATGTCTAGTGCATAATCACAATGGCCGAAAACTCGTAAGTTATGGAATTTGTAATTGTTATATTTGTGTTTAAACAATATAATTTGACAAACGTATTTATGTAAATATACTTTGACAAGAAATGTTTATAATCTACTGCTAAAAGTAACACAACAAATTCTTATTCTGTTGCTCTACTGATTATGTAAAATGGTGATGTTTGTATAATTTGTCGTGTTTGATATTATGTGAATAAACTCATGTACTATTTCCTATTGTTTTCTCAGGGTGAAAGTGGCCGTTAGGGTCCGCCCCTTTAACCAAAGGTAAGTGAATATATTTGAATATTCAACAATATCTAATTGTTTAATAATCATAAGATTCTGGATAGTGCCATTAGACAGTACTTAGTGACCCTTGAAATCTTACCATTTCGAATTTGAGGGAATGATCAGTAATAATCAATGACATGTTATATAATTTGTTGCAGGAAATGCTGCAAAATCAGTATATTTTTGTTTACTTTTCGTGAAAATGTTTCTTAAAAACTATAAATCGGTCAAAATTCAAATGGGATAATTAATTTTTGACTTATGTTCTGAAATCTTATGGTTTTGTTCGAGAAATAGTTGACAATAACATTGGAGTATGTCTGTCAGGATACCTTTGACCATATCTACTAATAATGTGTCATGTTAATTTATAAACAAGCATATAGACAGACATATTTCAATCTTTGGAAATTATGCAAGATTTCTTTTGACATGTTGATTGTGATTGTTGATGAAAAATAAGTCAATGCTATTTATATCACATTACACTGTATTGAATTGTGGCACTCCAACTTTCACACAAGACCTATAACGGAGCCAATTGTTGTCGAATCAATGTCTTCATCAACACCTTGCCCGCGGAGGTTCATTACAACGATACAAAAATCAGTGTCAGGGTCCAAGGTGTTACAGATATATTCACTGAAGACAACAGTGCACAAGGGGTATTTAATTGTCAATCAAATGTTATTGAAAACAGTTACTTTCATCGGAGTTTTAACTGTTTGTTCACAACCGCTCAATCTCTGAATTCTTTTAAACTCATTGTTTATGGTTCTAATAAGTGTCCTGCTTTGTAAATTTTCTACGTTCCCAGGGCGCATATTATGGCGAATATGGTATTTAAAAAATAAAATATACCCCCCCCACACACACACACACACACACACCTGTCATTGTTTGCACCTGAAGCCACTGAGTTTATGTATCCTGTGAAATGGAGGTTTTATGTTGTCTCGTCTGATCAACATATAATAATACTGGTCAACTAATATGTTTGGTTGCTTTTTCATCACAGTTCACACTCTTATGATCACTACAAGAATTATAAATTCTACATCTTTTTAAAAAGAAAAATACTTTGTTCCTTCACTGCAAGAAAATAGAGTGGGAATCTTATCTATGTTGTGTTTGACTTTCTATAATAGAAATGAATCTGAATCTGAATGGTTCAGCTAGCCTCTGAGGATGAGTGAGTGAGTTGTATTTAACGCCGCTTTTAACAGTATTCTTGTCATATCACGGCCTGTCAGCTTAATGTGGGAGGAAAATCCCATAGTGATGCAGGTCTCAGACGTTTACCACTTCGGTGAAACCCACGAGCATGGGTATGGTGCTGACAAACCTAGAAACATAATCGAGGTGAACCGGGAATCGAACACACAATCATAGGTTTCTGGCGTGCCCAAGGGCCGCGAATTGCGGCACCTAAGACGACTGGGCGACCTGTGCCCCTCTTTGAGGATGAGGATGCAGGAGTTGGCACCTCATCACCTTTTCTTTGAAACTTAATAATCATGTTGACATGCACTGAACCAAAAAATGGCTATGTTCATATGAAAAAATCTAGTGTTCTTTAACTTTTTTTGAGTAGTATATTATAGTGTGAAATTATGATTGTGAGAGTTTTAGTGCATTACTTCTACCCAAGTAGAAACTAGGGCTGGGCCAGGTAACTTGGGTACTCGGGATGGGTGGGTACTGAGAAGGACCTGGGTAAACACAGGACTACCCGGCCCCACCCTCGGTTAGTCATGTAACATATTGTTTAATGACAAAAATGATCTACAACTGTATATGGTTACACTACAAGTCACTAATGTTCACATTTTTTTATGACTATGCACCCATTCCTTCTGACGTTTATGTTTGAATAAAGATATAACTTCAGTCAACTTCAGTGTATGCATGACCAGATTGTTTTATACGTGAATCTAAATACATTTTGTCCAGGGCTACGGACAAACTTCTCCCAAGGGGACATTCTATGCCCATCTCTTGAGACCTACAGCAGGTACCCGGGAAGGGTCAGGTAATAGGGGCATGGGTTTCCCCGAGTACAATAGAACATGGATATAACGAACTACAAGGGATCGGAGAAATCAGTTCGTTATATACGTTTGTTATATACGTTTCCACTCGGAAACATCCGCCATCTTGGCTAAAAACAAAATACAATACACATACACATTTATACACGTTTCCTCTCGCATCTACCAGTGATTCAGTTAAAAAGTACCAAAATTTTAATGCAATGGTCAGAAGAAATTGTATCTGAAGTTATTATTTTATCAGATTAATATATTCAAATATCACCGAAATGAATGTAAACATTATTGAATGAAATGTGTTTGTGTTACAGACGAGATTAGTCTAATTACATGGACAATTAAGATTAACATAATGCATGTTTAACAAGGTTGAATCATCACCAGTGATTGTTTTGATTTGCCACAATTGTGTTGATTTGCGTCTGATTGCGTACAGCCAATTGTCAGTGACACTTGACTCTGAGAGATATTTCCCAGTTCGCTATACACGTCACTAATTAGTGGTAGATGGGCTTGTTGGTGATCAGATATCAGTTCACTATATCCGTTAGTTCGCTGTAGAGAGCGTGTTATGTACGTAAATTTTATATCATAATATATAGGAGATAAATCGGGGATGTTTTAATACTTCGTTGTATCCGTTTGTTCGCTCTATCCGTGTTCGTTATATCCATGTTCTACTGTAGTAAATTTGGACTTGTCCCAGCCCTAGTAGAAAAGTCTTGATTTGCAAGTGTACTTCAATGCTGATTGTTTGTGTTCAGGGAGAAGGACCGCCAGGCCAAGTTGATCATCAAGATGCAGGGCAAGATGACCATGATCATCAACCCAGACGGAAACAGTGAGTATACTGACTCTTGTTAAACACTATAGCGGTCCATGGTCACGTGGGTGTCGTGAGACCAACGCGGTATCACCTTGTAAGACAAGCATTGATTGCTTGGAACCTGTTCTAACCGGAATCCCAACGGGGGAATCATCCCGTATGACAAGAATACGTTACTGGTTACCCGTTCTAACCCGGAATCCCAACAGGGCAATGGGATGTTGCTGGAATCCCAAGCTAACCCAGAACCCTAACTAGGTTCATCAAAAGTGCCACTAGAATTTCAATACACATAATTAGTTCAATCAAGCAGGTGATGTTCCATTTAATAGCCTACAAATGTGTTATTGTTGTACAGCTGACAGCAAGTCGAGGGAACTGCCAGTCCTTGGTCTAATCTCCCTATCCAGGTTACAAACATGCCTCCTTACACCTGGATTATTGTTGCCTGGTGTAGTCAATTTGTTCCTCTCCGTGGAACAGGTCTGTGTGTGACCTGGCCCCAGTCCCAGGCAGATCTTACAGGTGGCTGAATGTATGGAGTGGGCTAGTGGTAGAGCCTCCGCCCTGAGAGTGGAATGTTGGGAGTCGATCCCCGGCCACGCCATGCCACAAGACGTTAAAGTATATGGTACTTGTTGTTACGATGCCTGGCACTTGGCATTAAGGGGCTAAAACAAGGACTGGTCGGCTCGGAGTCGGTATACTGTGTCTGGTTGGGGTATTCATGTTAAACTGCAGCATGGTTTCTCAATGGGCTAGCACTAAAAACAAATTGGCATTAGTCCGGACTACTACAAGCAGACACGCACGCACATACACACACACATATACACAAATGCACATACACACACACACACGTGCAACGTGCATGCACGTCGCTACATATGTGCAATAATCTTGGACGAGACGTTTAACCCCATTTCACCTCACCTGTACTGTATGCCGGCACAACCATTGGACATTGTAGGGGAAAACATAATCTGGTCCCGAAATGGATGGAAATTTTTTTATTTGATTCATAAAATTATTTATTCTTACCTATGACAATCAATGACTATTTCATGGGCTTACATAAAGCATTCCCTGAACACGTGTTTTGAGGGGCTTACATATAGCATTCCGTGAACACGTGTTTTGAGGGGCTTACATAAAGCATTCCCTGAACACGTGTTTTGAGGGGCTTACATAAAGCATTCCGTGAACACGTGTTTTGAGGGGCTTACATAAAGCACTCCGTGAACACGTGTTTTGAAGGGCTTACATATAGCATTCCGTGAACACGTGTTTTGAGGGGCTTACATAAAGCATTCCCTGAACACGTGTTTTGAGGGGCTTACATAAAGCATTCCGTGAACACGTGTTTTGAGGGGCTTACATAAAGCACTCCGTGAACACGTGTTTTGAGGGGCTTACATAAAGCACTCCGTGAACACGTGTTTTGAGGGGCTTACATAAAGCATTCCGTGAACACGTGTTTTGAGGGGCTTACATAAAGCATTCCCTGAACAACTTTTTTGAGGGGAATGAACGTATGAGTAAATATTACAGCTGTTTGCAGCGAGTTAAGGAAGGACAACATAAGAGAGGGGCTTACATAAAGCATTCCCTGAACAACTTTTTTGAGGGGAATGAACGTATGAGTAAATATTACAGCTGTTTGCAGCGAGTTAAGGAAGGACAACATAAGAGTGACTAGACAACATACAAAGTAAATACAACCTATTTAACCCTTTTAACTACCAAGCCATCAAACGCTATAGTTCTTCCATGAGCGTATATTTAGTTTCTGTTTCTGAAATTACCAGATTCAGTCATTTTATTATGTTTGGGGGCCATGTGGTTAAAGTGTTTGCCAGGCACACTATAACTCTGGGTTCAGTTCCTGATGTGGGTATTCATGTGGAGTTTATCATTGGAGTTCTCAGCTGATTTTGCTGGAATTTTCCTTAAAGTGCTGTGATCTCTGCTCAGTCACTCACTCACTTATTAGTGTTGCAAATTTCAATTAAATTCATAACAATTAATACATTATGCTGACGTCACTCTATTACTGTTGCTGATGGTTCTGAGCTCGGAATTCACTGGCCATTTTGAACATGCATTTTATCAAGTAAAACTGATGGTGCTGTTGGTCATTATGTGAAATAATAGAGGAATTATACACATGTGTCAACCATAACATGGTTTGTTGGAGAAATCTCTCAATTCAGTCAGTAGAATCAGGACAAGTTGATTCCATTTCCAGATTTCTCCATTAGGCCACTCATTTTATGATTCCCCCCTACTGTAAAGCAGCCGGTCTAAGAAATAAATTAAACATAAAAATATTTATTTTTATTATGTCTCTCGCTAGTAATATAGACCCTCTTATACAACATTAAATGTTATATTTAAAAACCATGTCTAGATCATTATGAGTAATTGAAGAAGCCAGATGCAGTTTCAACTACATGAAAGAATTACTTTCATATAAATAAATAAATAAATAAATAAATAAATAAATAAATAAATAAATAAATAAATAAATAAATAAATAAATAAATAAATAAATAAATAAATAAATAAATAAATAAATAAATAAATAAATAAATAAATAAATAAATAAATAAATAAATAATACCTCAGTTTTATTGCAAATTTTGTTAAAGAAATTAGACCACCATTTCAGAAAGGCTTTAATGACTTAAGTACACCTTTGTGTATAAGTAAGTAAGATTTAATAGGATTGGTGGCTTTGTAGATTGAATGGTATTTTGTAATATCCTGATCCTACTTGTTCTTTGTAACTCTCAGTTGTGCACAGCAGGCAGAGGATTAGGCGGGTTGCCCTACTGATTTAGACATTGAAGGGTTAATCTGACTGACATGTTTATTACAAATGTAAAGAAAAGATTAACCCCTTGAATTGGTATGTCAACATTGTCTGCTTCCTTCACAACAGTCTCACATATGGAGGTGGTTGTGTGGATATATCAATCACACATGATGAGAACAGTTGTTAGGAAAATATCTTTATTGTTAATAGGATGTTACATGTGTGTTGATTGGTTTAGCTAGATCTTATTGTGGATTTGTTCAGTGTCATTAACAAATTACCTTGTAGATGTTTATGTATGCAAGTATGAATTAAACACAGTGTATTTTTGCTAAGTATTTTTTATTAGGGTGTTATTTTGGACAAATCATCATTTATAAACACTCAATCATGAAATATACAGTGATACCTTGTCAATACTGTCCTAGTTTAATCGTCTGGATTAACCAATATCAGGGTTTATGAATCATGGGTCAAGGTCAGGGTCAAGGTCAGGGTAAACCTGCTTTGGGTTCTGGGTAAGAATATGGTTTCTCTGCAACCTACGCTGGTCATAAGAGGTGACTAAATGGATTGGGTGGTCAGGCTCGGTGACTTGGTTGATTGCTTCTCATTCTTACCATATGGGTTAATGCTCACGATGTCACTGGATTCTCTGGATTTACAGACCAATGCCATATAGTTGAATATTGCTGAGTGTGGGGTTAACAACAAACAAACAAAACATATAGACATTACTGACAATATCTTTGAAAAGGTCTTCAGGATTAACATGGTTTTAGGTGGTTGCATTGTATTTGGAGTAATTACAAAATTTCCATCTATTTTCATTGAGAACTCAAACTATTTTTCTTTACATTCATTTGCTGAATAACCCTTAATATTCCTTTGTTTTGACTGGTCGCCAAGCCCCTAGCAACATGACAATACATCAGTGCTATTTTGGAAACAATGGAAGATCAACATCACCCACTACTGATGATGCTACAGATTTCTTGCGACATCAATACAATCCTGTTGTCTTATAGGGACCAACCATGGGTCACATATTGTTTTAATTGGTTTGTGAGACCGATCGAAAAAAAATGCTGAAGCTAGAAGAACAAACCCAACAACTTTGACAATTTTGTTTTGTCCGACTATTTTACAGTTAGATGAAATGAAAAACCCCACCATATTTTATCACCACTGACAGATGGTAAACAATATATTTAAAAAATCATTGATCTAAAAAACAAAACAAATTAATTATCTTTCGGTTTCATTTTACAATCATACTTCCACGATGGAGTGTCCTACAGTATGTTTTGCATTCATGAGTAGCAATACCAATCTGGAAGTTGAATTTTTACATATATTCTTTTGACCACCCAAATTGTATTTTAGGTAATTTTTTTGTAAACCAACCACTATAAAATATAAGGCATTGCCAAAAAATATGAAATTGTTCTGCTCCAGCTTAGTTGCATGACTGAAATTCATCAAAGTTATTTTCTAAGTACAACAAAAAACAACATAAAGAGTGAAATAGCAACATGACACTTTGTGTATAAAGAGGATCTAATAAAATCTGCTGTGCATTGACTATGTAATAACACAGGTGGGTGTGTACCTCCTTCTGTTGTATATAATGAAATAGATCCCAGGCAGGTGGCAGTCTTATAGTGTTATCACTGTACTTGACCTGTATATTGACAATGTTTATGGCGGTTGGTACAATCAGATTTTCGGATGGGTTGTTTTGTTTTATTCATTGTTAACAGGTTTTGTTGTTTTAAGTGGATACCCGCTGGGATATTGCTAGAATATTGCTGAAACCACTCACACACGCACACACTTAAGCTGGATACATTCCGTAGATTCAACATTATAATGAAAAGTGTGAAGTTATTTTATGAATTATCTTTACAGCCAGTGTTTGTCAAATTGAATAGGATTTTGTTACATGGCCATGACCATAATTATATTGAAAATGTAATTTAAATTATAAATCGTGAGTTGGGTTTAAAACCTCTTTGAATAATATTTAATTAATATCATGGCGTCTCAGCATGTGGAGGAAAGCCTAAAGTAATGCAGATCTTAGACTGGTAAGACTTCTGTGAGAACCACGAGCACGGGTATGGTGCTGACAAACCTAGAAACATTATTATTCTGAAACTGGGATTCAAACCTATAGTTTCCAGCATGCTAAAGG